AAAAAATGGTGTCTCAACAAAAGTCGCACTGTCTTATTTAACAAAAGCCACCTTTAGAGAAAACAAAAAGTATACAGTTGTATAGCCCTTTCTTCAAACTTTCAGAATCACTCAAAAATTCATGTGGTTTTTTTCCTTTCTCGAGATATTGAGAAAACTGTGGATAGACATGATAATATAAGTACCTGATTCTCATGATTACATGGAACAAGTTGATATCATTACTCAGCAACAGTTCAACTATTTCAGCTAAAATTTTTACTATAGATAGATTAGACGAATGGTCGATTGATATAATTTTTAATTTGAAATATCTTTGTATCGAAAGATTTACAAGGTTCGCGATTCTACGTATGAATCATCCATATACAGTATAAAACGTTTAAAAACGACAACGATGTCGTGCGCTCGATTTTTTCGATATCGACACACACCGGTTGTTATTGTGCACTGCGTATTATCATTCCGTAACTTTGACATAGTCTTTCTTGCGTCTGTCTCTTTTACCTCTTCTTCCTTCCATTTCTTCTTCTTCTCGTTCTTCGTAATAGAAGAACAAATATTTGTTAACAAACGGAGCTTCGAAGGATGATTCTAAATCAAACTAACCTTCCCAGCGATATCCGACGTTATCTTTGGTAACCCGTACAGGCGTGCAAATGCTAGGCTTTCATAACATACATCTATGTGTGTATGACTAGAAGCGTCTATCTCGTCATCGTCGCTTCCAGAGACAATGATCATGGGCGTACTAGTCATACATGTATACATGTATGTTTTCATGACCATTGCCGGCTTTGTCCACTGTAGGAGCCAGCAGAATACAGAGGGTATTCCTGGTCGCACGTGAGCAAAATTTTGCAGCTGATGCGCTTCGGCGAGTCAAGTACTCAAGAAGGCCAATTTATTATTTTTGGTTTAAGAAAAAACGAGCTACATTTTGTTTTTCACAATCTCAATGTTACTTTTCACAAGTGCAATATGCGGATGATTTGATGGCAGTGATTTTTTCCATATCTCTTCGGCTTCTTTGTAATATCGAAATGCTTGCGAGTACTCGCCCATGTTTTTATACACAATGCCGATATTGTTGTAGGAAGTAGCCAAGTCGGGATGATTCGGAGGGAGAGCTACTTTTTGAATTTCAAGTGATCGTTCGTATGATGAAAGTGCCTTCGAGTATTCTTCCATATTATCATACACCGCACCGATGTTGTTGTAGGAAGCAGCCAACGACGGATGATTCGGAGGGAGAGCTTTCAGGCTGATCTCGAGATCTTTTTCGTAATATGAGAGTGCTTTCGAGTATTCGCCCATGCTATTATGCACCGTACCGATGTTGTTGTAGGAAGCAGCCAAGTCGGGATGATTCGGAGGGAGAGCTATTTTCTGGATTTCAAGTGATCGTTCGTACGATGAAAGTGATTTCGAATACACACCCATGCTATCATACACGATACCAATGTTGTTGTAGGAAGCAGCCAAGTCGGGATGATTCGGAGGGAGAACTATTTTTCGGATTTCAAGTGATCGTTCGTACGATGAAAGTGCTTTGGAGTACTCGCCCATATTTTTGTACACAATACCGATGTTGTTGTATGAAGTAGCCAAGTCGGGATGATTCGGAGGGAGAGCTATTTTTCGAATTTCAAGTGATCGTTCGTACGATGAAAGTGATTTCGAATACACACCCATGCTATTATACACGATACCAATGTTGTTGTAGGAAGCAGCCAAGTCGGGATGATTGGGAGGGAGAACTATTTTTCGGATTTCAAGTGATCGTTCGTACGATAAAAGTGCTTTGGAGTACTCGCCCTTGTTTTTATACATAATACTGATGTTGTTGTAGGAAGTAGCCAAGTAGGGATGATTCGGAGGGAGAGCTATTTTTCGGATTTCAAGTGATCGTTCGTATGATGAAAGTGCCTTTGAGTACTCGCCCATGTTATCATACACCATACCGATGTTGTTGTAGGAAGTAGCCAAGACGGGATGATTCGAAGGGAGAGCTATTTTCTTTATTTCAAGTGACCGTTCGTACGATGAAAGTGCTTTCGAGTATTCGCCCATGTTTTGATACACCACACCGATGTTGTTGTAGGAAGGAGCTAAGTCGAGATGATTCTCAGTGAGGGCTATTTTCTTTATTTCAAGTGATCGCTCGTACAATGAAAGTGCTTTCGAGTACTCTCCCATGCTATTATACACGATACCAATGTTGTTGTAGGAAGCAGCCAAGTCGGGGTGATTGGGAGGGAGAACTATTTTTCGGATTTCAAGTGATCGCTCATACGATAAAAGTGCTTTGGAGTACTCGCCCTTGTTTTTATACATAATACCGATGTTGTTGTAGGAAGTAGCCAAGTCGGGATGATTCGGAGGGAGAGCTATTTTTCGGATTTCAAGTGATCGTTCGTATGATGAAAGTGCCTTTGAGTACTCGCCCATGTTATCATATATCAAACCGATGTTGCTGTAGGAAATAGCCAAGTCGGGATGATTCGGAGGGAGAGCTATTTTCCGGATTTCAAGTGATCGTTCGTACGATGAAAGTGATTTCGAGTACTCGCCCATGTCTGTATACACTTTACCAAGCTGCTGATAATAATCCGATCGCTCTTTATCATTAGATGCCTTTTCGATGAGTGCCTTACAGAGATGTTCTGCTTTTGCGAACTCTCCTAGATGAATAAGTATATCGCCGAATCGAGACCATCCTGTAGTCCATCTGAACTCTTCTCGCAACCGTGCCGTAAGTTTATTAAAATCATCGTCTTGATTATCCTCAGGGGGTGTAACGATTCGTAACGAGAAATTTACAGGGCTTTCGTAACGAATTTTGACAGGGCTTTCGTAACAAATTCTGACAAGGCTTTCGTATCAAATTTTGACAGGGCTTTCGTATCAAACTTATACAAGGCTTTCGTATCGTTTTTGACAGGGCTTTCGTAATCAAGTTCTTATTGCATTCATAACTAAAATGAAAGACTGGTACTAAAAAGAACAGGGCATTCGTTACGAATACGCATGCTTACAAATATCGCTTAAGTCATTAAGTGGGATCCATTCGTAACAAGTTTTATATACTTAAATGGTCCAAATACATGGTACTATACTGTGAATGAATTATTTGTATACATTCATAGATGTCGTTGTTATTTCTAGTTCTCTATGTTTTTCCAGAATTGTGTACGCCTTTTTTTTGTTAAAGTTGCTGACTTAAAATCGAGGAAATCAATTATGTGTATTCTTAATTCTATTATCTTGATATTTTTCTCGTTCACTCTTCTCTCTTTATATATTGCCTGGTTTTTGTTACTTTTTGTTGTTACTAAGAAAGAGATTTACAAGAAGATAAAAATTTGTCTATACTTATATTCTGGTTCTCACTTTCTACTGTTGAACTATTTATGTTATAATTTTGGTAGATCACTAATTTCAATATGAAATCCTGTCAGCAACATCTGACGAAAGATCATACCAAATCCTTTTACGTTACGATAGCCCTGTAAGAACGGTACGAAGATCCTGTAAGACCCATACGAAGACCCTGTCAAAATTGTTACGAAGGCCCTGTAAACTTGATAGGAAAGCTCTTTAAGAAATGATACGAAAGCTCTGTCTAAAATGATACGAAAGCCCTGTCAAAAATCGATACGAAAGCCCTGCTTTTTATGATTTATGCATTTTACATTGTTACGAAAGCCCTGCTTCTTACTGGGCTTTCGTAACCAACCGTTACGAATCGTTACCTTCCCTATCCTCAAAAGTGAGGTTAACTTGCCATAAGCGATCAGTATGTTTGTCTTCGATGCGTTCTATGCGATCGATACGAAAAATTGTGTGTGTCGAAAAAAGTATTTGTTCCTCTTGATCTTTGTAGTAGCTGACTTTGCTTACTTCGGCAAATGGTGTCGATAATTTTGTACAAATAGCTGTATCAATGGTCATAACAAAGAGGATACCAACCGAAGTGGGATTACGTGTGGCTGGTCGAGCAAAGTTTTCTAGCGAAGTCTTACGATCACGACTTGTCAACAGGAAATTATTGAAGGACATAAGACCTCCTTTGGTTTTTTTCATCTTTTCAAAGTCTTCATTGGACAAACCTTGTGCATGAAAGACTTGAAATTTTATTGGCATGCTGCCTTGTTGTTCGCGATGGAGTTGTGCGATATGGAATTGTTCGTAAAGTATATCGTCGATTTTGTTGTTTGTCTTCAAAGCAGAATAGAAATTGTTCTAAGTGAAACTTTATGAAAACAGATGCAATATGTATGAATGAATACATAAGTTGTTCATCACATAAGATATTTGATATAATGTTTTAGATGAAAAGAAATGCCTGTTTATTTCAATATTTGATTATTAATAATTGCAAAAGAACTAAATGAAATAACTGTATTTTGCACGTTACTTTAGTGAAGACATTACGTTCAAGCTATATAGTATATAGCAATTTAGAGAAAACAAGGAGGAGAATGTGGCACTATAAATGCTACTTCTTTTTCGACTGAAGATGAATTAACATATAAGTTTTCAAATTTTAATGTATCGAAATTAATTTTGTGGTAAATGCATTCAATATCTTATATTTCATTCGTTTTTTTGTGTAAGTGATGCCAAAAATAGCAAATAAAACTTTATTTAACCCTTTGGTTACGGGGTTTTTTTTTAAGATGAATCTTTTTTTTTTCGTTCTAAAACAGTCTGAAATAACTTTTATTAGTATATAGAATTATTTAGAAGTGTTTTAAAGTGTGATAATCCTCAAGACAACCTATCACACAAAGCCCAACGTTACAAACATCACACTGATAACGTGTATTGGTATTCTTTTTCTCGCGTCTGCTTGTATGATTACAAACTATACAAGCTCTTCGTCCAATGTTTCCTGTTGCTGTTGCTGGAACTAGAGAAGGAAAATGACGTGCAGTAAGACGTATAGGATTATCTCCGATAATCGGACGACCAATTGGATGTTTGGGCTCAGCATATCTTTCAATCAATTGCCGGATCAATTCAGTTCGAAAATCACCAAATTGAATAGTTTTTTTATGCTTTACTTTGAATAGTATATACGCGTTCAAGGTTGATAAATCCAGCAGATGAAAGAAAACTTTTTGTACCACTTGACAGTTTTTCGTACGCATTCTATAAAACTGATCTGCATATCAGTTTTGTCAACTGAGCCCATGTTTTCGTTATAATCAATAATACATTCTGGTTTTGTGATTACTTTTTGAGTCTTCCAGTCATTTTTTCGTGTTGCGATCATCTTCGGTTTATGAATTGTAGATAACATATTGACTTCTCGTTTGTCTTGCCACTTCAATGCCATAAGAATGTTAGTGTTGTTATAGTCGAAATCACCTTTCGTTAGTTGACTGAACTTGACTGGACCAAGACGATTTTTGCGCACAGTTCCACATGCACCGGTTTTGAATTCATGTAATTTTTCAAATAGACGAGGGCTAGTGTACCAGTTGTCGAGAAAAAGTGAATGTCCCTTGTTCAAATAAGGCTTCATCAGAGTCATTACTACGGAACCGGATTTTCCTAAATTTTTATCCAGCTCGAATTCTGTAGAAGAACCAGTGTATACAATGAAATCCAACACCACTCCTGTTTGGCAGTCGCAGATAACGAATACTTTGATGCCAAATCGATGACGTTTAGTAGGTATAAATTGTTTGAAGGCCAAACGGCCCTTCCAAAGAACGAGACTTTCATCTATGCATAGGTTTTTGTAAGGAATAATAAGTAATTTGAATTTCTTTCGTAGCTCATTTATTACTGGTTTGATTTTATGCAATCTATCGCCCTCCACTTGATTTGATTTATTGCTGAAATGCAAGTATTTCAAGAGCATCATAAATCTGTCTCGAGAAAATAGTTGTCCAAACATAGGTGTAACAATCATTGGATCAGTTGACCAGTAGTCGAGGATCTTATTTTTTTTAGTTACAGCCATTAGCATAATGGTGGCTAGAAAAGTATATATTTCAGAGTGATTTGTCGGTATCCATTTAGCCTGATGCGAAGCTGTATTATGTGTTGTATCATTGGTAGAAAAGTCGTGATACTTGATGATTATGTAGATGACGAATGAAGAAACCCATCCTAAGCATTATATTGACATCCATTTGTCGAAGTCCACGATTAAGCATCGAATAAATAAATATTTCAGCTGTATACCACCATATTGGTGTATGATTACGATATTCATTTTCGACTTGTTTAATTTGATCTTCAGGAATATCATCCTGTTCACGACAATATTCAGCCAGGTCTTTGATAGATTGTCTATAATCATCTTCGATTTCTAAAAGTGTTTCTTTTAACAATTGTGTATACATGAACAGAGGATCGAGACCCTTAAAGCTAATCGAGATCATAGCTCGATCGCATCGTTCTCGATCGATTTCTAGTGCTTGACAAATTGATTTAATATCAGTATAAACTCCTTTGACCTTTGATACAGTTTTAGTCCATTCTTCATGATATGATTCATTGTCACAGAAAACATATATTGTTTCTAACTGTGGCATTGCTTGAATTTCTGGTACTATTTGTTGTCCTAATGCACCAGATACAATCAAAAAAATATTTTCTTTTTTAAGTTCACTAAGGAAATTAACACATTGTTGAGGATCCTTAAACGTTGTGACGGATACCACAAGTTTTCGAAGATCTTGTAATGAATTTTTGAAATCTTATTTCGTCTCATCAATATTTGCATCCAACCAGACGAGAAGAAAATTTTGTATAACCCGACGAACTGGTCGGGGCAGTGTGGCACTTCTGCTCACCACTGTTGTTGCTCCTGCTTCTACTGAGGATGATTTATTTGTGTTACTTGCTGTAGATGATGATGATGATGATGATGAGTCACTAGCACCTTGTTTTAGATTTTTATTGTCCATTATAATAGTAATGATGACGGTGATGGTGACGACGTTTTCGTTTTTTTAATTTATGTGAATAAATGAAAACATAAATACTTGTACCACATACACTCTAAAAAAAATCAGTTTATTACTGAACTTTAAAAGTTTCGCTTTTTTATACCGAACGATTTTAGGTTCGGTGAAATGAAAATCGTTTCGAGATTTTTGTTCAGAACTTTTTTAAGTTCTGCAGATTTCACAGGGTTTCGCAAGTCTTCAACGAAATCCTATGTGGGTTTCGTAAATTTTACACGAAACGATTGATAGTTTCATAGGTCATCTAAAGGCTTAGTATATTTTATACTGAACAGTCGATAGTTTCGTACATCATCTAAAGGTTTAGTATATTTTATACTGAATGGTTGATAGTTTCGTAGGTCATCTAGAGGTTTAGTATATTTTATACTGAACGGTCGATAGTTTCGTAGATCATCTAAAGGTTTAGTGTATTTTATACGGAACGGTCGATAGTTTCGTAGGTCATCTAAAGGTTTAGTATATTTTATACGGAAGGGCTGATAGTTTCGTAGGCCATCTGAAGGTTTAGTATATTTTATACTGAACGATCGATAGATTCGCAGGGCATCAGAAGGTTTCGTCTATTTCACACAGAACGGTCAGTAGTTTCGTAGGGCATCAGAAGGTTCCGTATATTTCACACGATACGGTTGGTAGTTTTGTAGACTAATCTAAGGTTTCGCAATTTTAGTATGAGACCCTCTATGGTTACTTTAAGTGCTAATAGGTTCCGTATGCTTCTTGCGAAATCACACTCTAAAAAAATAGGTTTATTACCGAACCCTAAAAGTTTCGTATTTTTGCTCCGAATGATTTTAGATTAAGTAAAATCAAAATCATTTTGTACTTTTCGTACGGAACTTTTTTAAGTTCAGCAGAATTCATAGGGTTTCGCAATTTTTGCGCGAAACCTTCTGCGGATTCCGTAGATCCGTTCGTGGTTTCTCACATCATGAACCTAACCTTTGATGGTTTCGTACATTAGCAGCTAAACCATTCATGCCTTTGCAGAGTTGCGGAAGGATCCGTCTTTTCTCTGCGAAACCATCAATAGTTCGGTACAGTATTGAAGGGTTTTACATTATTTATACAGAACTATTCATCACTATATTAGATATTTAATGGTTTCGTATATTTTACACGAACCTGCTGATAGTTTCGTAGTCTGTTATAGGGTTTCGCAGTTTCCCTGTAAAACCTTGCATGATTTCATTAAGTGCTAATGGTTTTCGTGTACTTCGTACGAACCCATGTATATTCCTGTACACTTATAAGCGTTTAATTTTTTTCCCTAACCGTGAATGGTCCAGCGTTAGTTCCAGTGCTTAACCTACTTGAAAATCCTTATATTTCCAGTAGTAGAATGTAAAACCGTCAGGACTTATTACCGAAAATCGACATAATGAGAAAGAGCTCAGGAACAAATGTATATGCATCCTTCTCCGAAACAAATCAGAGTGGAAAAATTTAAAATGTCAGGCAATTAGAATAAAGATAGGAAAAGGAAGAAGTTTACTCAGCGTATCGAGAAAATAATTAATATAGTATCGAGACCAGAAATGTAATAATATCAATACGGTATTGGTTAATATTGATATTTATTTGACACTGGATCAAAATTAAACGAGGCCAGTTATCGTTACGTTACCCAGTATCATGGAAAAATTGTGAGTTTCACATTTCCATTAAGGAGAGAAAATTTTTCGAAAATAACGATTTTTCTATAAAGTTTGATCAAAGACCTTCGAGGTTGAGTAATCCGAATCTCTAATTAGTTTTTCGAAGTTTGTGAGTTTACTTTTTTCAGCAAACTGCCTTATAGAGATATGGATCCTTCGGCACCGAGAGTCTTTGCTTAAACTTTATAGAACATGGTTACTTCAGAACAAGTGCATCCCTCTAATGATAGTATTAAATTTCCAAGTTTTTCTTGTTGCTTGATAATGTAACGGTAACTGATTTCATCTAATTCTGGCCCAGTGTAGACCCAATACGAATACTAATACTTCCAATTGTATTTGATATTCGTATTAAAGATAATAGTATCGCTACATTACTGATCGAGCGTCAAGTGAATACATTGCCTAATAGCAAAAGAAAAGGAAAGCATGCAATATATTCAAATAGCCCTTAAACATGTATAGAGCAGTACTTCGAGATAGCGCTCAAAAAGTTACAGATGGTATCCCCAGATGGTACCCCAGGTAGCTCTCAAAAGACTACAGATAGTACTTCGAGATAGCTCTAAAAAGCTACAGACAGTACCTCGAGACATAGATGGAACTGGTCTAGTTTTTTTCAGATCGGGTCGGATCAGCCGGTACACCGGTTTGACCGGTCTATCGGTAAAAAACCGGTCTACCGGCATATACTCGTCTACTGGCTGATACCGATCTACCGGTAAAAAACTGGTATACCGGTAATAAACGGGATACTGGTGATACGTTAGTCTCTTAGTAAGAGCCGATCTACAGACAACAGCCCGAGCCTTAAAATAAAATTTTGTTCCATAGTGAAGTGTTATGAGTTATCCTGGTATGTTGCCGCATACTGGCATAATGTTTCACTATTGACAACAGTAGTTTCATTGAGTATGGTCTAAACTATTTGTTAAACTAATTTTTGCGTGAGCAGTGGGACTAGCCATGATTCCACTTGTTTTTTTTCTATGGATACAGTCATAGAGCAGGAGAGTGGAAAATTTAGACCGGTCAGTCAGGCAAATACTGATCTCGATCGGTTGACCGGTAGACCAATCGATCCGAAATCTAGATCAGTACCAGACCGACCGGTAACCGATGCCGGCTCCATCTATGACTCACGACACCCTTGAAAAAGTTACAGACAGTATCATTAGGTAGCCGTCAAAAAGTTATACGCGGTATCCTGAGATAGTCCTGAAAAAGTTACATATAATACCCTTAGGTAACTCTCAAAAAGTTCTAGATGATACTCCAAGATAGCCCTTCAATAGTCACAGATAGTACCCTCAAGTAGCCCTCAAAAAGTTCTAGATGATACTCCGCGATAGCCCTTCAATAGTTACAGATAGTACCCTCAGGTAGCCCTCAGAAAGTTACACATGGTACTCTGAGATAGCCCTGAAAAAGTTACAGATAGTACCATTAGGTAGCCCTCAAAAAGTTACAGATGGTGCCCTCAGGTACCCCTCAAAAAGCTACAGATAGTACTCCGAGATGACCTGTAAAAAGTTACAGAGAGCGCCCTCACATAGCCCTCAAAAAGTTACAGATGGCACCCCAGCTATCCCTCAAAAAGGTACAGATAGTACCTTTAGGCAGCTCTCAAAAAGTTGTAGGTGATACTCCGAGATAGGCCTCAAAAAATTACAGAGAGTACCGTCAGGTAGCCCTCAAAAAAATTATAGATGGTACTTCGAGATAGACCTCGAATAGTTACAGAGAGTACCCTCAGGTAGAGCTCAAAAAGTTATAGACAGCATTCTGTAATGGGCCTCCAAAAGTTATATATAGTATCCCGAGGTAGCCTTAAATATCATAGATAGTCTGTGCTGACTATTCATTCACCGTTTTGTTTTGCGACTGCAGCTATATATATACAACTGACTCAATTGAAGCACCATCGTCATTGAAACGTAGTTCAAGAATAAATATCTTGATACATCCGTTCTTTTATTTTGGGCAATTATCTGCGCTATTCAAAATGTCTTAATAGGCTAGAACTTTGATAAATAACAATTGACCTATTTAATTAATTAGTTTAATCATAATTTTGGTTGCTGGCACTGTCAAATATGATGATTTTAGGTGGTTTTGCGAGCTTTTTGATATGATTCAGCATATTTCGAGTATTCCATGAGTAACGTCTAAAATAGGCATCCAGCAGGTATTTACTTCAAAGAGGCTGGCTTTCAGGGGAATCTGATAGAGGGTCCGATTAATTTTTGATAGAATCTATAAAGTGTATTGAATGACTTGAGCAGTGAGTGTAATGTTTCAAAAAATATTATATTTTTTTATTCCGCTTAATCGTATATTTTAGATTGCCAAAAGCAAGAAGGTCATAAGTAAGTTTGATTTTAAAAATTAAATTAATTTTTGTTCTATTTTAGATTGATTCAAACATCAAAATCAAGAGTAAGGTTGGTTTTATAAAATAAAATAAATCTATTTATTTTTCTATTATAGATTGACTCAAATATGGGATAGGTAAGTTTATTATATAGTAAACAACTTATATTAAATTTTCTATTATAGGTTGACTCACACATGGGATACATAAGTTTAATATATAGTAAATAACTTATATTAAGTTTTCTATTATAGGTTGATTCAAACATAAAAAAAAAGAGTAATTTTGATTTTATAAAATAAAATAAAATAAATCTATTTATTTTTCTGTTATAAGTTGACTCACATATGGGATAGGTAAGTTTATTATATATTAAATAACTTATATTAAGTTTTCTATTATAGGTTGATTGAAACCTTAAAAACAAGAGTAAGTTTGATTTTATAAATTAAATTAATTTTTGTTCTATTTTAGATTGATTCAAACATCAAAATCAAGAGTAAGTTTGATTTTATGAAATAAAACAAATCTATTTATTTTTCTATTATAGGTTGACTCACACATGGAACAGGTAAGTTTAATATATAGTAAATAACTTATATTAAGTTTTCTATTATAGGTTGATTCAAACATCAAAATCAAGAGTAAGTTTGATTTTATAAAATAAAATAAAATAAATCTATTTATTTTTCTGTTATAGGTTGACTCACATATGGGATAGGTAAGTTTATTGTATATTAAATAACTTATATTAAGTTTTCTATTATAGGTTGATTGAAACCTCAAAAACAAGAGTAAGTTTGACTCTATAAATTAAATTAATTTTTGTTCTATTTTAGATTGATTCAAACATCAAAATCAAGAGTAAGTTTGATTTTACGAAATAAAATAAATCTATTTATTTTTCTATTATAGGTTGACCAAGGGGTAAATACAGACACTCAGCACCTGTTTGGCACCTAGTTAGCACCTTCAGCACCTGTTCCACATCTTTAGCGCATTCCACTATGAGCACCTTCAACCACTCTCCCACTATCTTAAATGCTTCTTCAGCACCTTGCGATAAAATTTTAAGGACAGAGCCTATGGACTAAATTTTATTACAAGGTGCTGAAAAAGCGTTTAAGATAGTGGGAGAGTGGTTGAAAGTGCTTATAGTGAAATGCGCGAAAGGTGTCGAACAGATGCTGAAGGTGCTGACTAGGTGCGGAAGGTGCCAAACAGGTGCTGAGGTGCTGAGTAGGTGCTGAAGTGCTGGGTGCCTGCACTTTCCCCCTTGAGATTGACTCACACATGGGATAGATAAGTTTATTATATAGTAAATAGCTTACATTAAGTTTTCTATTATAGGTTGATTGAAGCCTCAAAGAAAAAGTAAGTTTGATTTTATAAAATAAAATAAATCTATTTGTTTTTCTGTTATAGGTTGACTCACATATGGGATAGGTAAGTTTATTATATATTAAATAACTTATATTAAGTTTTCTATTATAGGTTGATTAAAACCTCAAAAACAAGAGTAAGTTTGATTTTATATAATAAAATAAATCTATTTATTTTTCTATTATAGGTCGACTCACACATGGAACAGGTAAGTTTAATATATAGTAAATAACTTATATTAATCTTTCTATTATAGATTGTTTCAAACATCAAAATCAAGAGTAAGTTTGATTTTATAAAATAAAATAAATCTATTTATTTTTCTATTATAGATTGATTCGCATTAAACCTGTTTGTAATCGTCCAGCCAGTCATTCATTTAGTTTAAAATCGAATCTACTGATGGCTATCAGATTTGAATCAATCTAGAGTATATTATAGATTGATTCAAATACCATAGTCATCAGTTGGTTCAAGTTTAAACTAAATGAATGACTGGCTGGGCGATTAAAAACAGGTTTACTGCGAATCATTATGTACGAAACCTTTTGTTTTAATTTGTAGTAAAGGTTTAGCAGAAAACTATCTGTACGGAACCTTTTTTTCTGTTTCTTGTATAGGTTCGATACGGAACCTTGTCCGCAGAACCTTATTTTTAGTTTGGTAAAAAGGTTTAGTACGAAACCTTTTGTACGAAACCTTTATTTTAGTTATTCATAAATGGTTTTGTGCGAAACCTCTGTTACGAAACCTTTATTCCAGCTTTCCAAAGATGGTTTGTTACGAAACCTCATTTTTTACGAAACCAAAAAAGGATCTTACCGCGTACCGAGGATAAGATCCTTTTTAGGTTCGGTAAAAAACCTTTTTTTTTTAGAGTGTTGTTGGTTATTAGCCGACAAAGCTAGCCGTTTATCGGCTGATAGATTATCACGAGTGATAGAAATAAACAAAAAGGAATAAAATTCTTCATAAGATTGACATCGAATAGATGGAACATTTCTTATAAAAATAAACCACTTCATTCAAAAAGCATTCAGTTCTTAACTATGATGTTTTCTAAGATCCAACAAACTTGAATTTTTTTCCAGTACCTTGACAAACAAACAATAAAAAGTTCACCTTTCTGCTAAAATAAGACCGTCGAAAACAAGACAATTTCATTGCTTTTTTATGAATTTTCATGCACTAAATGTATTTCAAAACTTCCATAATAATTCACGAGACTTCAAAAGACTTCAAGAGACTTCAAGAGACTTCATGAGACTTCAAGAGACTTCTTGAGACTTCAAGAGACTTCATGAGACTTCAAGAGACTTCATGAGACTTCATAAGACTTCATGAGACTTCATTAGAATTCAAGAGACTTCAAGAGACTTCATGAGACTTCATGAGACTTCATTAGACTTCATGAGACTTCATGAGACTTCGTGAGACTTTATGAGACTTCGGAGACTTTATGAGAATTCATAAGAATTCATAAGACTTCAAAGAGACTTCAGAAGACTTCGAAAGACTTTCAAGATTTCATGGGACTTCACGACTGAAGTCTCTGCTGTTTCCCCCTTGGTCGAAGCATAAGCCTATTTTCAGAGAGTATTTTTTCGAACCACTCCTTCAAGCTAATTATAGTAGGAAAAGTGTGGTGTATTCGTGAGTAAATCTCAATAATATTTATTTTAGAACATTCAACTTGAGTTTTCCTAATAAGGACATATCTATCAGTAAATGTTTACAACTAGCCATTACTTGATAATACACGAGTTTTATTGATGTACTGATAATGTCAAATATTCCAAAACGACATAGAACGGATGCTGAAATTATAGGAAATCTAGTAGTGACACACATTATTTTTTTTGACTACTAGCTAACTCGATTGATTTGTGAAAAAAGAGATGACCCATATTATGATAGTTTAAGAAGAGATGAGATCAAGAAATATTTTCCAACACTTTCAACTTCGGAAATCGCAAAAGTCGAAATCTTACCGAGTCAATATTCAAATCACATTGGGCTATGTTCCAATGGTCTCCGTACTTTAAATATAGGGTTTATTTCAATAGCATCATATCATATAATCGTACGGATTTGAACAAGTCGCTATTTTATATATGATATAAGTAGAAGTGCGACATCTGCAACCAATGTTTCTAAAACGACCATGTGCATAAATAGGCCAAAAAGGAGAATCGAAAATTTGTCTGAATAAAAGAATCTCATTTTATGATCGACTTTTGAGAATGAAATGCAGTTATCGTCTTGGAATAGGGTATCTCACGTTCACAGAAGTTTTATTTTGGTTTCTTATCATTCGTCATCATGTTTGATGTATGACAATTATTCACTCTTCTTGATATGAATCATTTGTTATATCTTTCTACAGATAAATAGCTGTAGTTTCTAACAGTGGTGCAATTTCTTATTCCTTTCTTACTGTAGATATTTCGAATCTGCTGCAACTCAGTTAAACATATTGAAAATGTTAAAAACAATAAAAATTAATAACCTGCAACCAGAAAAGACTTCGTGTCAAAATGATTCACCATTGCCTTATGATAAAATCTGGTTGGATAAGATGAACAATGGTCATGATTCAAAATCTGCAAATCACTATAAAATTCAATATACACTAACCAATGGTCCAGCGAGTAGCTATTCGCAAAATGCCGTATTAAAAGCATTTTTACTTGCATATAATCGACATGAAGATATAATATTATCGCCTGATGATCTTTGGTTGTTGATTACAATAAATTTTTCTAAATATGTTAATTCAAAATCTGAACAACTTCGACATATATTTGTTGACCATCAAGGCAAGAAAAAACTTGTCGTTATAGAACCTGTGGGAAAGCGTGAAGAAGATTGGACAGATTTTTTTGGCAATATGCAAACAGAAATATCAAAAAATGTAAAAAGTTCTGAAGTGATTGATAATTTAATAAACAACTTTTCAACAACAACTGAAATTGAACTCACTTTATCCTATGCATGCATTATGGATACATTTAAATCGTATTTTCAATATGGTCGATGTATTCCTGGTTGTGGTATACGAAATGTTCATTTTATGGGTACTCTCTTTGATTGGAAGTTACTAAAACAAAAAACAGAACAGTTAATGAGTTATACAATTAAAAATGATGAATTTTATCGATATATTGAAGATTTATTACCAATATTAAATGAATTTATTAAAACCTATCAGGAAAAAGTTGATATTGATTTTTGGAACCGTATAATAGATTTAAAGCATGGACGATTAGGTTCAGGTAGTACAGACTATATTACTGGTTGGATATTAAAACTTTTTTTTGGCATTAATGAAAAAAATTCAAATAAAATTGAATTTTCAGATATTCACTTAGATTCAATACGTGTACCAGTTGAAGTTGAAAATCATGCCACTGGTTTAAAAAAGATTTGTTATGTATTGGGAGGATTTTATGGTGTTGATTCAACGCAAGATCATATTCATAAACCAGTAATGAGTTTGGTTGTTATTGAAGATTTAACAACAGTTACAAATCTTTATGATAAAGCAAAACATGAATAATGATTCGCGTACTCTTGTAACTTTTCTAACAGAGTGACTCCATTAAGAATTCTTCTATTGTAAACCCAACAACTTTTCACAAGAATCTACAATCGCTTTAACTAAGTTTTAAATGAAAGAGGATGATCAATTAAAGATATAGGCTCAAATTTGGGAGGGACGAGGATGGACGACTGTCGATTGTCTTTTAGAATGTGGATGTATGGGTAGGGTGGGGTGGGTGTGTGGCGGGTGTGGGTGTGGGTGCCTTTTTATGGTATCCAATCAACACCCATACCCACACCCTCTAGCCAATAAATGTTCATATGGACTGTACCGGATTGTGCATAATCTTTTGCTAGGGGGTGGCGCTATGATTCCAAATAGATTATATTGGATATTTTTATATGGTTCGATAGAGCTCATCAAGCTCTACAAAATAGTATATTTTTAAAAAATTTTCAGC